AGCATTTTAATTGCAATACAATAATTTTTATTAAGCTTCCCTAGGAGGGCACACATTCTCTGTGTGAATGACTCTATAAAATATGTATTTGGATCCATAACTTTTGGGAGCATCTGAAATAATAAATTTGACTTCTAGGTGCATAGTGAGTTTTTTTTTTAATTTTTAAATTTGTCTTAATTAGTTATACATGACAGTAGAATGCACTTTGATATACATAGATGGTATATGATTTCTCATTTTTCTGAGTGCACGTGTTGTAGAATCATATTGGTGATGCAGTCACATATATACATAAAGTAATAATGTTTGTTTCAATATACTATCTTTCCTATCCCCACATCCCCTCCCCTCCTATCACTTCCCTCTACCTAAGTAACACTATTCTTCCCTAGTGCCCCCCACCTTATTGTGAATTAGTTTCTGCATATTAGAGAAAACATTTAGCCTTTGGTTTTATGGGATTGGCTTATTTTGCTTAGCATGATATTCTCAAACTCCAACCATTTACTGACAAATGTCATAATTTCACTCTTCTTTAAAGCTGAGTAATAGTCCATTGAGTATATATACCATATTTTCTTTATTCATTCATCTATTGAGGGACACTTAGGTCAGTTCCATAGTCTAGCTATTGTGAATTGAGCTGCTATAAACATTAACAGAGTTTAAAATTTTAAGTTTGTAAACACTTGGGCTACCAGCTGCAGACAAGACTCCTTAGCTACTGCCCCTTCCGCTTTCAGAAGGGAGGAGTCCTTTCCTCTGTGCTGGTCCCTGGAGCTTAGCCTGAACTCCAAATGATCACCACCCTTATGGTGTGACCTCTGGAGCTGGGAAACTGCATTACCCAGAAGGCTCTGCACTGTGCAGCTACGCCTGAGCCAATGACAGCTCAGGAAGTGGGCGTTTCCATGAACGCACAACGGGAGGGCGGGACTTCCGGCGTTTCCTAGGAGGCGGCCATTTTGCCGTTGCTCGGATGTGTCCACCAGCGACCGGTGGGGCGGAGGGCGCCCCGCGGGCCTGCGCAGAGTCCCGGGGCCGCCGTGACCGCGCCCGCCCGGGGAGAGTCCAATGGCGGCGGCCGCGCCGCGGGACCCCGCGCGGGTGAGCGCCGCGGCTCGGCGGGGGTATGCGCGGCCCGCCTTGTCCTGTGGGGACGGGCCGGAGTGACCAGCCGGGGCGCGCGCCGGGGGCTTAGAGGCCTCGCCGTCTGTTAGGTTTCAGACGTTTCTCTGAAGCGACTTCACAGGAGGAACCGGTGGAAGGGCGACGAGCTCGTGGGGGCGCGGGGCGTACTTCTTGGTCCCGCGGCCGTGAGCACGAGGTGGGAGGCAGCCAGCCCGGCCACCCCATTGCAGGGCCAGGCGGGGTGCCAGGGTGAGCGTTCCGCCATCCCAGAAGTCAGGCTGCCCCTTCTCGTGGCTCCATGGCCCAGACGGGCTTAAGGAACCTCCTCGGGGAGTGCATGCGCCCCGCCAGCCTGCTGCTGCCTCCTGCGTCGTGTGACTTCAGGACATTTTTCTAGTTCTTGGGTGTGGGGCCTTGGATAAACTCCAAGCCTAGGGTCCTAAGGCCACGCCAGGACCTTATGGAGGTCCTCCCTGGAACTGACACCTGGAGGTTTGCGGATGAGTGGAGGGGAGCCTGACCTGGGAATGTTGAGGAAGCCGCGGGTAGGGATTGTGATGTGCCTGGAAAGTTGGGTGACTGTGCTGCAGGCAGTGGGAAGTTAGGGTCAGAGGTCTGACTAGTCTCCATCGCCTGCAGAGTGGAGAACAGACAGGGGTTGAGGGAGAAGGAAGATCAGGGTGGAGGCTCCGGCCATACTCCAGGTGAGGCTAATGGACCACCGTTATAGATTACATTTTGGATGTGAAGTTCTTTTAAAAGGCAACTTCTAATTTGGACATTGAGGAAACAGGATTCAGGAATGACCCTGTAGTTTTTGAGGGAATTCAGTTTCAATTAACTGAGATGGAGAAGATGGTATTAATAATAGTATTCACTGGGACATCAGGAGTTTTGATTTGGCTATGTTAAGAGTGTAGAGATGTTTCCACCAGAGAGGCAGAATTAAGTGGGGAGCTGAATACACTGATGTGGAAATCTGGTTAGTGGTTGACAATGGAGACATTCAAAATGTGGTTGTTGTGGACTAAAGTTAGTGAGCTGTGAATCACATTGAGGATTCATGGTGGAAGGCATAGGGGGCATTGGCAGGGTTGGATGGAGCCAAGAACAGTGCCTCTTGGTTCAGTTTCCAGTTGATGGCAATAGGCTTTACAAATACATTATGGGAATAGAGGTAAAGGAGGTGAGTGGCCATGAAAGTAGGAGGTAGCAAACAGGATGTTTTGCAAGTAGCATAGGCTTTCACCGGAGGAATGGATGTGGGATGGTTGCGAGGTATAGGTATATTTGAGGCAAGATGACACTTTGGCTGGACTTGGTGTCCAATCTATGGAATTGCTAGGATTTTAGGTGGTGACTTTAGTGGGGCCTAGTGTTTCATTCTGCCTGGAAGATAAAGCCAGGGGCAGATGTAATCACGTCTGTGATAGTCACTTGCCTGGGGTTGAATGAAGAGTGGAACAGATCTTGAAGTGTTAGGTATATAGAGAAAAGTTGGATATCTGGTACAGACATGAGAAGAGTAGGGTCATGAGTATTTGAGATGAACACATGGCCAGTGTGGCTAAGTCTGGGGCAAAAACTGGAGCCAGGCAGGGGACTTGATATAACCTTGTCTGCCACCACTAGTGGAAACTATGAGAAGTGCAGGGCAGTTTTTGATCCTGTTCATATTTGTCAAGCATACTGAGAGTGTTGTGTGCTGTTACAAGTATTGTGTGGTGTTTTGACAGCTGGTGAAATTCGGATGATATCAAGTAAACTGAATATAAGTTCCTGTCCTCACTCTTCTCCAGCTAATAATATCTCCACATAGACAATTCTTTATATGAAGGGGACCAGACATAATTTCTGCTTATTCCTTTGTAGCAGATTTTACCTCCTTACCAGCCCACGTAGTTACCCAAACATATCAATTGAGGGGACCAGGGATTATCTTACCCTTTTGGTCCTAAAAAAATTTGCATCCCACAGCCCCTGGTTCAATTTTTCTGGACCATACCTCTATGTAGTCTTAAGTGATATACATTGTCCTCTACAAGGATTGTCGTTAATCTATCCAGTATCAGATATTGTATGTTTGGTCATCCCCATAACCTAGGGTGAGAATTTACCTCCACCAATGGTGTGAAGAGGAGGTAAGGAAATCAGGAAGATGAGGTGTAGGACAGTGAAGTTGTTTTGTCCATGGGACTTTGGTATCTCTAGTTATGAGGGATGTGTAGTGTAAAGAATGATGTGCACTTGGACAGCAAGTAACTCTGACTGTCCTGGGGTCCTGTATTGAGACTGACATGATCTTGGGTACAAAGGGGCAAGGGCAGATACTTCTGTGCCAGGTCCCTAGCTAAGTTATCTGTCCACCTTCCTGTTGTTGATGCTGTGCCTGGTGATCAGTGAACCCATAAGAGTACAGTGGCAATTGGAAGCTTGGGCATGGAATGGGCATGAGATAAATATGTGGGGGAATGGATTGTGTGTCCTCAGGGAAGGGACTATTTGTGGTTTGATTTTCTTCCATTATGGCAGGGCAATATAACTTTTGAAGATGTAGCCATACACTTCTCTTGTGAAGAATGGAATCTCCTTGACCAGGCTCAACAATGCCTGTACCGTGATGTGATGGTGGAGAACTTGGCCCTTATAACTTCCCTGGGTAAGTTCCTGACACCCACCCATGAGCCCCGAGCAAGTCTGTTTTCTCTCCCTTTCTCTGAGAGGCAGGTCTGTCCTCACACAGGACCATTGGCTCTACTTCCCTCTGCTCCCTGGGTAGGTTCTGTGGTTAGTAGGATTGAGATGTGTACTGCTTCTCTTTGCCTAAGCATCCCCAACTCTGTTTCCCTGTAGCCTCACAAGGAGACTCGGGATCAGAAGCCTTGCAGTCACGTTGCTGCATCCTGCCTTCTTTCCCTCTCCATGATTCGATGTCTTTGTCCAGCTTTGACACCTCTATGTGCGCCAGGTTCTGCTTCCTTCTTCTAACCAATGTTTCCTTATGACTGCCTGTACCAGGGATCATGCCACTGAAATGCTCATACTTACAGGGACTGTACTATTCTTACAAGACCTTTCTTTAAAATTTTCTTTCTAATATTTGTTTTATTTCTCTGGGCTATCGTGTGCTAAATTTTTTCTGGGTCAATGCTGGCTGCTCTTGTTTCCCATCCTTCCCTTAGTACTTGTATCCCTAAGTGCCATGTTTTTGTATCATTTTGGAATTGAGGTAAATAGTCCTCATTGGTTCACAAACAACATCAAGAGGAACTGAGAGGAAGACTGCCCAGGTTAAGAAAATGATGTGAAAGCTGTGCTCGCATCGTAGCAGATATATATTCTGTTTGAATAGTGTTTTGGTGCCAGTGCCAGTGGCTGGAGCTCATTTCTGTTTTTCCTTTGTCATTTTGATACTTTTTTAATTTGTCAGCTCCACTACTTGTCACTTCTACTCTCATATCCAGCCTGCAGCTAATTTACACATTTCTGAACTCCCACTTCTACAGTGCTCTCCAACATTGGCCTTTATATATTGTGTCATGAAATAAGCATACATCCTTAAACTGTCCGTAAAGGCCAGCTGCTCTACTAAAGGCATATATTTTTTTGGGGCCTGGATACACCATTCCATACAACACTTAGGTATCGTCAGCAGAGAAGGTTATGCAGGAAGTTGTTTGCAGAGGATAAAGTTTCAAATTCTCCCTCTTCTCTTTCTGTCACATCACATGGTGTGTCCCTTGCCTCATCAACTCTCCCCCATTCTGTCATCTTTCTAACCCACTATTGCTGAGCCCCTCATTCTCAACCAGAACCCAACTCCCTTGTCTTACAAACAATCCCATGGATTTGCTCCTGGGCTTGTAGCAGTTGCCCCTTCCCACTAGCACTTTGACTAGCATTTCTTGCTTTCAGATTGTTGGCATGGAATGGAGAATGAGGAGGATCTTTCTGAGCAGGATATTTCTTTAGAAGATGTGTCCCAAGTAAGGACTTCAAATGAAGGTCTGTCTCCCCAGAAGGCTCCTCCTTGTGTGATGTATGGCCTGGTCTTGAGAGACATTTTGCACATAACTCATCACCAACAGGGAACACATTGTCAGCAGAAACTGTACAGATGTGGGACATCTGGGAAACAGTTGTATTTCTCTGCAGACATTGATCAGCACTTTGGAGAGAAACCCTTCAAAAGCAATGTGGGAAGAGCCTTATTTATGAAGAGGTACAAATTCCATGAATCAAGGGAACCCTTTGCCTGCATAGAAGTTGGGAAGGACTTCCTGGCCAGCTCAGAATTTCTCCATCAACCAGCCACTTGCATTGAGGAACAGTCAAATGGCAAAAGTAATTTGGGGACTGTCTGTCACAATGGAAAAACTCATTTTGACTATAGAGAATACATACAGACATGCAGCCATGAACACACAACTGTGCAGCAGCAGAAAACCCACACTAGAGAAAGATGTTATATGTGCAGTGAGTGTGGGAAATCTTTTAGCAAAAGCTATAGCCTCAATGACCACTGGAGGGTTCACACTGGTGAAAAGCCTTATGAGTGTGGGGAGTGTGGGAAATCATTTAGGCAGAGCTCTAGCCTCATTCAGCACCGGAGAGTTCACACTGGAGTGCGACCTCATGAATGTGAGGAATGTGGTAAATTATTTAGCAACAAGTCCAACCTCATCAAACATCGGAGAGTTCACACTGGAGAAAGGCCTTATGAGTGCAGTGAATGTGGGAAATCCTTTAGTGAGAGCTCAGCACTTCTTCAGCACCAGAGCGTGCACACTGGAGAAAGGCCTTACGAATGCAGTGAATGTGGGAAATTCTTTACATATCATTCGAGTCTCATAAAGCACCAGAAAGTTCATAGTGGATCGAAACCTTATGAATGCAGTGAGTGTGGGAAATCATTCAGTCAAAATTCCAGCCTCATTGAACACAGGAGAGTTCATACTGGAGAAAGGCCCTTTAAGTGCAATGAATGTGGGAAATCCTTTAGCCAGAGCTCTGCACTCCTTCAGCATCGTAGAGTTCACACTGGAGAAAGGCCTTATGAGTGCAGTGAATGTGGGAAATTCTTTACCTATAGTTCCAGTCTCCAAAAACACCAGAGAGTTCATACTGGTTCAAGGCCTTATGAGTGCAGTGAATGTGGGAAATCCTTTACTCAAAACTCCAGTCTCATTAAACACAAGAGAGTTCATACTGGGGAAAGACCTTATGAGTGCAACGAATGTGGGAAATCCTTTAGCCATAGCTCTAGCCTCATTAAACACAGGCGAATTCATACTCGATAAAGGCCTGTGGGAAATATGGAAAACCCTTTAGCTGAAGATCCAATCTCTACAAACTTGAAAATTCACCTTAGAAAAGTCCTTGTGAGAACAGTGAACTTGAGAAAACATTCAGCTGAAAGCCTTATCTCAGTGGATACCACAAAGTTCATATGAGAAATATACCTTTGATGTGCATGGATATGTTATTGTTCATTATACCAGTTCTTGAAGGGTTTTGGTGGTGCCACTGCCTGAATAGGACCACATACATCCAAGCATCCACTCACATTCCAGGTATGTGGGAGATGGGCTGCACTCATTAACCTGCCTGGGCCCCGTGCCAAATTCATGCCACTGAAAGCTTAACTCTACCTGCTGGAAGGTGCCCACAGTATGCACCATTCACCCACCCCAGTGAAACAGGGCTCTCCCGTCTGTGAAAAGGATTTGTACGTAGGCTAAGCATTCATCCCCTTTTCATCTATTTCTCTCTGATGAGTTAGTCCATGCCACAAGGACTGTGCTGTTGACTTAGGAAGGTGGACCTTTTTCAGAAATATTGTTGGTTTCATGTGACTCTTGATGGAATTTTTCCTACCACAGAATCACCATGTGTGGGAACCACCTGTGTCTCATTGCTCCGGTTGTCTGATAATAAAATCTTTATTGGTTGAGGCACCAGTTATTTGGGGGAATTCTATTTACTGAATGTAGTTCTTTGAAAACAATTGGGATCTTTTGGGTGAACAAGTTTGTTGGGATCCCAAACTTTGTGTCCCTAGGGAGGGTAGTGGAATGATGGCAGAATACAGCTCTTTCTGGCTTGGGCCTTCTGTATTGCTGCCTGAGGCTTCCAGGAAAACCTGCAGGGCGCTGTTTGAAGTCGGGAGAGGTAGTGACAATCTGATGCTTCTGAGAGCAACATGAACTTATTTTCCTTTTCAAAGGGATATTGCCTCAAGCTCAGTATTGGCTGGGGTTCCTGTTTGTCAGGCCCTGCATGGATCTGTATGCCCTGACATTCTGAGTTCCATAGGATAGCATCACAAGCTGTAAGATTATAGTTGTTAACAGAAATACTGGATTAATAGGTAGTGGAAGAGACTATCACAAATTGATTGGTGCCTCTTTTACATGGGTATCCACAATGTTAGTCACTCTGGCTATGAAAGATGAGCAGGTCAGAAATACTTAGGACCGTATCTTGTGTAGCTGAAGTTATTGTCAGAGACTGCTCATCTCAAGGCTGTACTGTGCAGACAGGAAAATAAGGATTCTAAGAAGGGAGATCTTGGTCCACTTACATGGCCTCTGTGAGCAGGCAGTATTCCTGCCAAGTCCAGAGGAAACAGTCTTCACCTCTTAGCTATGTTTGTTACCACTGAGGCAAGAGGTCCCCCAGGGCATGAGGAGAAAGGTGATGGAGTCAACATCGTCAATCCTGATTTTTCAAAAACAAATTCAGACTTTCACCTGTACAACAATAGATTCATTCATATCCTGGAATTGTATGTTATTGAAATCGTTTTAAGTTCTCATGATTTTTCCCCTGGGTATATTCAAACAGCATATATGAGATTTATCAGTATTGCTTATATGAGTGGGATTTTTGTTTTTTAAGAGAAAGGAAAAAGGTTTGTGGCTTTGCTGCAAAGAAGAAACACTGGGTACTCCTGTCCCCAAAGCTGTGACTCTGCCCATCAACAGGAACATGATATTTGGATATTTTTTATTGCTGAGAAGTATGAGGTTATATGGCTATAACCTATTTTTTATTTATTCATCTGGTCATAGATATTTTGGTTGTTTACAACAAGTTTTAGATTTATTGCAAATAAAAGCTGCTGCAAACACTTTTCCAAGGATGTGTTTAATTTCTCTTGTGTTAATGCCTGAGTCACAGAGTAGGTGAATGTATAACCTTTTAAGACTTGCTGAACTCTGATCTCACATGCTTGTTTTCTTTGGATTCCTATGAGCAGTGTATGAGAGTTCTGGTTCTTCATATCCACTGGATATGGTTAGTTTTTTAAGAGTAAATGTGTAGCAGTGTAATAATGTAGTTTAGTACCATTTCCCTGGTGTTTTATTATACTGAGCATTTTTTATTTACAACCAGAATGTTTTTGATAAAATATATTCATAACTTTTGTATAACTAAAAATGAGTTTTAGCTATATTCCCTTTTATCAACAAATAAGTTGATAGAAAAAAATACAAAGATGTATGTTAGACCCTATGCTTCAATAATGTGAATTTTTAACTGCAATCCTGAATGCGTAGTGCCTAATTTTGTGTATATGCCTTATACACAATGCAATGATCACATCTACATATATTTTAAAGTTCAATTTGTATTATTAGCATATTCTCCAGCATTTTCTAATTCTAGATAATTCATTGAATCTTTTGCCACATTCCTTGATGTAAAATCTCCCATCATGGCTAATTTCCATTTGTCACATGATGTCACTGCAGAACATGGAATTTGAGAAAGTTATCAGTAGCACACCAATGTATTGTTTCTACCATATTTATATAGTAGGCACAAAAAAAGCTCAAGTGCATAGAAAATAATGAAATATAGTAAAATGAATAAGAAGCTTTTTTATATCTTTAAAATAGTTTGAGGTATAATTTACTCAAACTATGTGTTTAGAAAGTGTGTGTGTGTGTGTGTGTGTGTGTGTGCGCATGCGCATGCACTGTGAATTGACCACAGGGGCACATTACCACTGAGCTACATGCCTATCTAGGGTCTCATTAAGTTGCTTATTATGCAACAAATTATGCTGAGGCTTGCCTTGAACTTGCAATCCTCCTGCCTCAGCCCCTGAGTAGTTGGAATTATGGGTGTGCACCACTGCACCAAGCATTACTTCTAATGTTTTGATGCATAGTCACACCTAAAAATAAGTTTTTTCTGGTCTTTAGTTCATCTTCCTCAACTTAGAATTCTATCCCTTGTGATGGCCACTTTCAGTTATGTGCAAAAATGAGAAAGACTGCTAAGAACCAGATGAAGTCTTCCAACCAGCTTTCTTTCCCACTTCTGAGGCATCACACTGCAGCTCCTGGCACACAATTCAAATCAGCATGGTATCCTCTTTGAGAAGGTCAAGAAAGTAAAAGGAATGTGGAATCTAAAAATTTATCCAGTTCAGAATCCATTTTTTTCTACTTAAGCAATGACCAGGAGTCCACTGGGCAGGAGATTAGGGACAGTGACTCTCTTCATCTCCTTGCCATTCTTCACTATTGATGAAGAGCCCAGTGTCACTGTTGCTATACAAACTGCTGGTTTCCCATTCTGATATGTTTTTTGTTTATCTGCTTCATACTCTATTCTTTATTTCCTTCCTATTTTGCTTAGGAAAGTGCTGCTTTCTGCTGATTCACACAACCATGACCCAGTGAGGTCCAGGGAGTATTCTCCTTCCAGCAGGACAACACTGCTCCTTAGTAGACTTGAACAGGCAGCCTCTCTCAGAGCTCCAGTCTGAACTTTCAGGTTCTCTGAAGGCTGGCAGCCACCTTCTCCTGGCAACTGAGTGGTGACAAGGTGCATTTTCAGTAAAGAAATCAGATTCGTGCCAAGAATGTTGCTTATTCTTTAACTATGGCATTGAAAGCTGGGTGCTGTTTGGCTACCGTTGTGTCATCGGAGTCACTGAAATTGGTGACTGGGCCACTTGTCAACAATTTTTAATGGCCTCATCCAGATGTGACACAGAGGCCTCACTGTATCAGCAAGTGTGTTCTGCCAGGTGAGTAAAGTCAGACTGGGGCTTCCAAAGCTGCTGTCTCTGCTGCCAAGGGCTCAGGGACATCTCCTCCCACCGCTCACCAAGTTTATTCTGCTCAGATGTCTGCTCCCAGTCTAAGGCTAAGTCAAGTACCAGCTCATCCTTGAGGCCACATCAGATAGCAACTGTGATGTTAGCAAAAACAAGCAAACTCAGGGAACTAGATCTCTGTGCTTTCTCCCCAATTTGTCACTGAATTATCAGACTAGTCAAATGCTCGTTCAGAATCCTTCCCTGCCTCAAAGATTGCATTTCAAATGCAGACAGTACAATCATGAGACTCCCACACCTCCAATCTTGCTTATATGCCCAGGGTGACCCTGGGTCCAGGTATGTCCTGGAGAGAAGTAATCCATCCAAGCCACACATGGGCAAAGTGCTGACTCCAAAAGATGAAGGTGGGGAGGCAGAACGGTAACTTCTCATTTGGACCTAGGACAGGGGAGTAGCCCTTCTAGGGCAGAAACTGCCAAACAGAAAGTCCTGGTGACTGGGCTCCCTCCAAGATTGAGGGTCTCAACAGGACCACATATGTGGGAGAAACAAGCATATTTCGAAGGACTCCACCATGCCCCAGCCTGGCCCCGAGGGCTTGAGCAAACATGGCTTGGAACACCATGCCTACACAGAAACAGAGAAGAGAGCTGTAAGAGGCCATCTTGGATGGGGTGATAGGCCCTGAAAAGCAATGCCCCATCACCCTTGTCCCTCCCTCCAGCCATTACAGCCCCATGGTGTCATTAGCCATTGAGCTGCATCCCAGTGCCCCATCCCCTCTGTCACTGGCCCTGACCCCACCCTCTCAACCTGCTCCTTCCCCTTTCCACTACCTATTAATCCAGTGTTCATGTAACAATCACGGTCCCTTGCCCCACACTGCAACTATTGGTGCTATCCTAGGACTCATGGCTCCTTTGCAGGACGAGGGAGAGAGATTTCTCTCAAGGGAATCACACAATAACACCTGTGAACAAATTTCACACTGTACTGAAATTTCACAGTCACACCTCCCAAGTGAGCTCAGAAGCCACAAAGTACCACAGTAGCCAGGCTGTAAGTTAGGTCCATGGTGCTTTCCTTGGAGGCTTGGGAAGAAACACAAATCAGGCCCAAACAGAAGAATTACTTTCTGCCATAATACCCTGAGGCATACGTGTGGAATGCTCTCAAATGCTGCTGCTGCTTTCATTATGACAGAACTCTACTGTTTTCAAATCACTCAATAAAGTGAATAGGGCTCCCAAGATTAAAGGTGGCTTAAGAGATAAGACATTGGGGCCACAGTTATAGCTCAATGGTAGCACGCTTGCCTAGCATGTGTGAGGCACTGGGTTCAATCCTCAGCACCACATAAAAATAAGCGAATAAAGGTATTGTGTCCATCTACAAACAATTTTTTTAAAAAAGAAATTTATCATCACACAAAGCAGAGAAACAAGAGGCAGGTTTTTCCTCAGGTTGGTCAGGTAAAGGCCACAAAACTCATCACTGGTCATGAAAGACAATATCTCTGGAAAACGTAGTCTATCTTTTAATTCACAAGCAGGACTCAACCAGGTCTTTGGGGCCAAACCTGAGTCAGACCCAGACCTTAACACGTTGGGAGTGAATGCTGTCATCTCACAAATCCTGCTCTGGGTTGGGAAAGCAAAGACTAACCACTTCCCTATGCAAAAGGAGTACCAACACACACTGTGGGCGCCTGGCAGGTGATAGAGGCCACACGGCTTCAGTTAAAGTACTGAAGGTGACTAACGCTTGGGCAAAGACCCTGGACAGGTTTAGAAGTGCAGCACAAAGCTTCAAGCTTCCCCCACACCTGGAATTAATGTGGACGTGTGAATGAATCAGGTTCAGTTCAGGCAAATGGCATCCTAAGGGATTTCCTCCAGTGTCATTGCATTAAACAAGAAAGCACCCAACTTCTAGGACATTAAGGTGTCTTCCCCATGTGAACTTTGTGGTACCTGAGGAAAGGCATTTGGCTGATAGCTTTCTCATATTCAAAACATTTATAAGGCCCTACTCCAGAGTGAAATCTGGTGTTGAATGAGGCCAGAGCTTTGGATAAGATTTTTCCACACTTAAGACCCTCTAGGGCCTTTCTCCAGTGTGAACTCTCCTATGGTCTCTGAAGTTGAAGTACACGTTTGCTGCACTCATAGGGCCTTTCTTCAGTATGAACTGTGTGGTGTTTAAGGAGTGCAGACCTTTGGCTAAAGACTTTCCCATATTCATTGCACCCATAAGACCTTTCTCCAGTGTGAACTCTCAGGTGTAGAATAAGGCTGCAGTACTGACCAAAGGATTTCCTACATTCACTGCACTGATAAGGCCTTCATCCAGTGTGAATGTTCTGGTGGTTTAGAACACTGGAATTGTAGGTAAAGAATTTCCCACGTTCATAAGGCCTTTCTCCAGTGTGAATACTATGCTGCTGCAGGAGTGCAGAGCTCTGGCTAAGGAATTTCCCACATTCACTACACTTAAAAAGCCTTTGTCCAGTGTGAATTCTGTGATGTTAGATTGGGTTGGATCTTTGGATAAAGATTTCCCACATTCCCCACACTCAAAAGGCCTCTATCCAGGGTGAACTTTCCAATGGTTATTGAGGCTGCAGCTCTGGCTAAAGGATTTACTGCATTCACAGCACTTATAAGGCCTTTCTCCAGTGTGAACTCTCCAATGTTGAAAGAGGTTAGAGCTTTGGCTAAAGGACTTGCCACACTCTGAGCACTTACAAGGTCTTTCTCCAGTGTGTACTCTGGTATTTAATGAGACTGGAGCTGTGGGTAAAGGATTCCCCACACTCTCTGCACATGTAACATCTTTCTCTAGTGAGGACTCTCTAATGCTGAACAAGTAAGTGTGTGTTTGGGGATGAACACTTCATCATATTCTTCCCAGTTACAATGAGCTTTCTCCTGCGAGAGGCAGCACCATACTTGGTTTTGCTATTTGACTTTTCCACAGGAAGAAGACTGTTGATGGAGAAATTCCAAGCTGGTCAGGAAATCACTTCCAACCTCCCTGTGTATAAAGGCCTT